TCAGCTCTGTGTATTTCCCAACTGCAGGACTCCATGGGAATGACTCAGAACTTCACAGGGATAAATAACTTGTTTTGATGAAGGTAAGTGACTGCGATCATTTCCTTCACACTCTGCTTAATTTTGTTACGTGTAAGACACCATGTAGAGAAATTTCAGATGTCTATAGCATTTAAAATCTCTATTCCTCTTTGATAAAGCAGGTTGAATACATTATCAGAGCTCTAATCATCTAGAAGGTCTTGGATTTGCCAGTATCCCCATCCAAGCTATTCTTCTGGTAGTGAGAGTCGTCACTGAATCTCCTTATTGACTTGAATACTTCTGATGACATTCTGAGAATTACACAACTGATGGGTTCCTTAGATACTCAGGGGAGCTGGACATGATCAGGGAATTTTATCCAGAAATACATGTGGTAACTGCTCAGCTATTATGGAAATATAGTATGATGAGACTGCTAGGGGAATGCTTTTTCAGTTTTGAGACAGTACGTAGCTCAGGCTGGCCTTGAACTCACAATCCTGCCTTACCCTTTCTAGTGACGAGTTCACAGGCCACCAGGCCCGGCTTCATAGCGGCATCATCAATCTCAATTCTAAACTGCAGAAATGATCTTCATCTGTCACTCTAGGTGGCAGTGATGCTGCCATATCTCACGATAGAGGCTGTCTTGGTTTTGAGCAATGAGCTTGAGATTCTGCTCAGCTGGCCCTGACTGCCAACTGGCCCATGACTGCCCCAAGGCATTGTTACCGAGAAGTTTGGCTTCTATCCCGACTCCTTTGCTGAGACTCAGGGATTATTTTCTGGCCATCACAGGCCTCAGGCACTCTCCCCACTTCAGTGCACCCCACTGGGACTGCAACTGATGAGGGCGCTGGCCTCATACCAGCTGCTGAGCACCACATTTGAGCAGAGGCTGTGGCTTCTCTTCATGATGGAACCCAGGCCCTAGCACAGTGACAGGAATCCTGAAGGGGCACATTAGAGTATCCCGAGCCAGCCAGCAGACGACTGAGTGGAACAAGACATGAGAAAAGAAAGAAGGGTTAAAGCAGGAAAAGCAGACAGCGGCTCTGATCTGGGGTTACAAGGGAAATAAAGTAGCATCCAGTGAACCTAGAGTGAGAGAGGAGAGCCAAGACCATGTGGCTCTGTGTGGATGTCTGACATAGAACACGAAGGGCACAGAATAGCCGCTCAGTGACCTATGACAGTGAACACTATCACAACATTTTCTGCACCCCAAGTCTAGCACTTACCATGACTGTCTGGTTTAATCTTTTCATGAAACCCTACAAGGAGCTGCTGATGTTCTTGGCAAAGTGGGTGAAAAACCAGCGACTGAGGAGGATGCCCCAGTGAAGGCCAGAAGGATAGCCCAGGTCCACCCACACCAGCACCTTTGTGGTTTCACTGAGAACGAGGCTGACTTTGGTAGGGAAAGCACACAGACTCTACATCCAACTGCCTGAGTTCAAGCCTCAGGTTTGATCTTTAAAGCTGGGTGATTTATTTCATTTACTTAATGCACTGTGCCCCAGTTTCTTTAGGGAGGGTGGCAGTGTACAGGGACCGTTGGGAGATCAGTCAGTTAGAGTTATAAAGCAGAGAAGTGGTGTGGCCCACGTGCTCCACTGGATGGTACCTGGAAATGCTGCTTTCTAACAACAGAACCCAGAAATGGTTTCATGGCGCAGGGTGAGGAGAGCAGGTTGCCCTTTCTCCACCTCTACAGTCTTCATTGGTTTAATTCAGGGGCCGTGGGATACAGGGACCTGGTGGGCCCTGGCTGCAGGGTAGACATCAGCATTTAGACTAGCTCATGGTGGAGGAGGGGAGAGCAAATTTAGCATTTGTTAAGCCATGCTCAGGGCTGCCACAAGATGCAATGAAAAATCTGTCCTAGACCTCAGCAGAGGGCTGGACAGCAAGTCTGGGGCACATCCCAAAGCCCCAGAAAGAACAGTCACTGTTTTCACCTAAATCTCTCTCACTCACTGACAGCATAGAGCATGCTTCTGGATTTTCGTTCAGAGAATAACCCTGAGACCCTCCTTCTTTAGCCTGGCTACCCATGCCCATCAGGCAGAGAACAGAGGTTGGGAGGGCCAAGCACACTGCCCACTGACCTGCACTGCTGATTTCCCGCCACGCAGGAGCTGGCAGGCTCTTTGGTGGGGGTCGGGAGCTGCCACGTCGGCAGGGATGTTGGGAAGAGCTGGTGGGAAGAGCAGCAGGTTCAAGTTTCGTCAGACCTGGATTTTGCTCTGGGGTGTCCAGGCCACGCATAGAGTAACCTTCCCCCTTCACAGCACAAGGGCCCTTTCAGAGCTTCCTCCACTGAGAAAGAACTGCCCCAGCGCAGCGGGCCTGTGGGCCAGGTGCTCACCACCTGGATCCCACCTGTCTCCTCTCCTCCCTCCTGGCTCCTTGTTCTGTGTCCCACACCAGCAAGCAGCTGGCATTTCTCAAATGGCTGCTTGTTCTTGCCCTCGGGCGGGAGGGTCTTTCTGCCGCCCTCCATCCCATAGAACTTCCTTCACGTGTTTGCACTCAGTGTATGCATCACCTTCCAGGAAGCCTTCTCTGACTGAGCTGTCTGAAGGATTTCTGTTTGGAACTGTCGTAATTCCTTCCGGGAATTTCCATCCTGGTGTTCACCACTGTCTATCACTTTTCCTCATAAGAGTGGATTTCTTTCTTTCTTTTTTCTTTTTCAGGAACATTCGAGTGAGTCTTTACTGTAAGGGGGCCTGTGCTACAGCACAGGGTATGTGGGGAGGTTAGTAGACAGCGCCTTCCTAGACTAAGCTCCGAGAAGGAGCAGGAGAATGCTGCCTATGTAGCAGCAGTGGGCCTGTTTCAGTAAGAGGCAGGCCGGAAAGCTTGCTGCTATTGTGGACTCTGCAGCAAGTCGGGGTGAGATTCGCCTTCCTCAGCTCCGAGGCAGTTACGGAGGACAGACCTTCACCCTTCGGCTCACTTTAGCGTTAAGGGGTGAAACCTCTCAGTGGAGAAATGAGATGGATGAGCAGTGCCTCACTTTAACCTGTGCCTGCTGGAGGGGGACAAGGCTTCGCTGGTGGCCGGCATGTCGCTGCCCCTGGCTTCACCTTCCTCTCCTCGCCCTCCCCCAGTGTACTGGGACAGCTAGCTTTGGTGTCCTCCCTGGCTATTAATGGATATTCTCCAACATGACTGTGGCAGGCAGGCAGGCCATGTGGATCTCTTATCCCCTCTTACACTTAGATCACATTATTGCTGTTCTGAAGGGGGCAGGTACCCTGGATTGGCAGAGATCAGGAGGGAGGGATCTACTTCTTTGCATAGAAGTGATTTTCTTGATGGCAGCCCCATTGAGTTTTGGCTTTGCCTCCTCAAAGTGTAACAACCTGGGAATGACTTGGAGCACTTTTCCTAAATCTCTTCTTCAGTTTTATTTTATTTTGTATATTTAGTACAGGGTCTATAGGGTCTCACTGCATAGATTGGATTTGTAGTGATCCTTCTGTGTTTAGCCTCCCAAGTGCTAGGATTATAGGAGCATGCCACCACGCCCAGTCTCAGTTGCTATCTCAGTGCGCCCCAGGGGTGGGGTCAGCACGGCAAGCCTGGGATCGAACCCCAGCTGCCGGTCTCTGCCTAAGCAGGTGCTTTAGTCAGCTGAGCTATATGGCTGGCCCTTCAGTTTCAATTTTTAATCTTTTATTTGTTTGGTACAGGATCTCACTGTGCAGCTGGGACTTGTAGTGATTCTCTTGTCTCAGCCTCCCCAGCTCTGGGATTACAAGAGTGTTTTTAGTAGTACATGTTTCTAGTCCATAATCTTTGTATTTATCCTGGAGAGTTACTACCCACACATGACACATCCAGATTCTGTTTTGTTCACCCCCTCCTCCTCCCTTTCCCCCCCTGCTCCCTCCAATTCTTGGGCCCCTTCCCATTTGAAAAAGTTCTACCTGCATATTTTCTCCTTTAGTTCATTATCTTTACCTCCTTCCCTCCCTTCCCTCCAGCTCACCTCCCACACCCACCAAATCATTCTTGATTCAGAGAAGCCTCAGTCTAGCCAGTGGATTTCCACATTTCAACAGAGACAAAAGAGTTGTACAGAGAGGACAGTGAGTCCAAAACAAGATGCAGAAGCCTAGATGGCGCATAAGAACAAGGAAGCAATAGCAGGCGCCTTGTGATGGGGTGTGGGTCCCTGGGGAGGGGATCTGCCGCACACTGAAAAGACTCAACACCGCGGAGGCAACGTAGTTGAAGCAGCACAATGTCCCTTCCTGTGTGCTCTGGAGGAGATGGCCCTGGCTTTGCAAATGAACCTCATCCGCCACCTGCAGTGAATTCCACTGTACAGCCGGTGTGAGATCCGTAACCCTGTTCGGCCAACTATGGAGGCACTGGGCATTGTTTCAGCAAGGAATTTCGACTAAAATGTTTAGTCTTTAAAACTAAAGACACCACCAACAAAAAGTGAAATTCATATCCAAACAGAAAATCCTGCACTACTTGAAGAATTCCTCCGTGCTTTAGAAGTCTCTGCATTCCAGCACCGGATGAAATTTCTTCAGGAGACCATGCAGCCACGGCCGCCATCCCAGGTCCACACTGATACTCTGGGAGGCTGGGTCCCCTGCACACGCTGAGGCTGGGGACTCAACAATAGCGCGATAGAAACCTGACCCAGCCAGCAGGCAAGACGCACTAAAGCATTTTATGAAGCAGAGACTTTGCTAGCCTCTGAATAATTAATGCCAAGACTCACACAAATGTACCAAGTAAGCTGAACTCAGACAAATTATAGATTTGATACTGTTAATTAAACGCCATTGTTCATTGAACACACACACACACACACACACACACACGTGTAAAACATACAAATTGTGGTAGATTATACCTCATTGTAACTCTGGTTCAAGATGCATAGAAACCTCTGAAACATTTCTCAAACTTTAACAGGAAATACAGTGGTTCAATAGTCTTACCCTGAGGTAGTTGAGGGTGAAGTTGGTCAGACCCATCCTGGTGATGTTTTTGGACAGCTGATCCAGGACCTGAGGATCTTGTGCCTAAATAACAACAAAAGATCATGTATTTTATCCCTAGGAGATGGTCCCACAAAACCTTAAGCCATGCTACCGCTGCTGAACCAAGCAGTCTTGACACTGTCGATGCCTCTTGGAGGGACAGATTGCTGTAGATAATTTAATTTACATTTTGAAGACACTTGCATACAGCATTCAAGGACATTTTTGGATCAATTGTGCAAGGCTCGGGGAAAGCAAACTGTCTCAGCTCTGCACTTGATCCTAGAGAGAAATGATACTCCTTTTTTTGTGATAGTCCCTGATGCCATGCCTTCAGGCTGAAGGCCCCTCAGGCCTGAGGAGAGAGCCAGGCGAGGGCCCTCACCAGAGAAGGGCATCTCTGAGTGTGCAGAGCTATACCTTTGTTTTCTCTTGTGACGGCGACACTGGTTTTTACAGCTCAGGATTGAGAATTATATTTGAAAACTTTTCAGCTACCACAGTTACTTTCCAGTACCATAAATCTATAAGTTCAGAGTAAGAGAAAGAGAGACAGAGACAGAGAAAGAGAGAGTGAGGGAGGAGAGAGAGAGAGGGGGGGGGGTTTCTCCTCATTAAACTGAGGCTAGAAACAGACAATTTTCATTCTGTAGGACTGTATGATAAGCATCACATTTTTCAAAATGTCAGCCGCATTTGAACACTGAGTGGAAAGCACCATGGCCTTCCCAAATGTCATCTTTGGCCAAACGAAAAATGAAATTCCTTTAGTTTTCCACTTTCACGGGCATCTCTTGGTTGGTGCTCTTTCTTTGTCTTTCATCCTTTCTCAGGTGGAATAAGCAAATTGGTGGCACAGCGAGGGGGATGCAGGTACGTGTCCCCCTCTCCACACCCGCATTCATGAGACTGTCCTGCTCAGTGATGGTGAGCCTGTTAGAGCCTCCAATCTGTGGCACGCGTGTCATAGATTCAGAACCACTCATCTGGGTTACACTGTTTACAACTTCAATTTATTCTTATTCTACCCTTATGGGTTTTTTTTGGCACTTAGATATATTCTCTCTTTAAAATTGTTTATAATTGTTTAAAATTTGTGATGTATAATATACATTCATTGTGGGAAAGTGGTATATGTACACAAGGCAGCTTGGTACATCTTCCATCGCCTCTCCTCCATCCTTGCACTTCATTGTTCCATAGTGATGCCGTCACTGGACTTGTGTACATAAATAAAAGGCTAAACATGGGAGAAAAATAGTCTGAAGGTAGCAACTGTGTGTCAGTTTCCTGAAAGGGGGTCTCAGTGGACAGGGAGCCTAAAATGATTGAGTGTCTTTATGAAGAGCTGGTTGTACATAGACGCATCGAGTAGTTATGGATGATGGCTAGGAGCTTACATTATAGGTAGAAGGCAGGGCACTTATCACTGAATGAAAGAATGTTGCTGCCTGCACTAGGGGACAACACAGTGTTCACACGTGCGGGTCTGCTTTACGTCACTTATGAGTATCATCTATAGTTGCATCTACTAACCTATAAAAGCCTCAAGTTTATCTTTTTTCATAGCTGAGTAATACTCCATTGTATAAAATACTACATTTTTTTTTATCCATTCCTCCATTGATGGGCATTTAGTTTGTTTCCAAGATTTGCCTATGACAAATTGTGCTGCTATAAATATGGGTGCACACGTGTCACTGTGGTTTGACGCTTTTAGCTCTCCTGGAAAACACCCAGGAGGAGGATAGCTGGCTGTCACCAGGCCTCTGATCCTAGTCTGTTGAGGCGTCTCAACCCTGATTTTCACAGCGGCTCCAGCTTGCACTCCCACCAACAGTGGAGAAGGGCTTTTTTCCCCCACAGCCTCTGCAGTATCATTTCTAATGTCTTACTTGTTATTCTTTTATTCACTTTAAATGAAATTTTAAAAAGAAATATTGCTGCTGCTGCTGCTGATGTGCTAACTGAGCACAAATACCTGTAGAGGACCTACTCTGTGCCAAGAACTTCGCAGCTACCGTCTCTTAAGTCTAAAGCCAGGCGCTCACGGCTTTCTTTATGACAGCTTGCCATGATTCCTTTAGGGTGTTCTTTTATTTTGATTTTTTGCTCTTTTAGTAGACCTAACTTTACTCTGCAGAGCCAATTTCTCCCTTCCTTTTGCAAATATTCGTTGCCACTGCTTGATAGAAAAAAAATTCTCAAGCCAATTCTCTAAGGCATAATTTATTGCTATATCTATTTTATAGATAAGGAACTGAAACAGAGATACCATATTACTTTCCCAAGGCCACATACGAATAGGAATGCAGTCCTAGATGGCTTCACCAAGGGACCTGGCTCCCACCCACTGCTCTCTTAGCCCTGTCAGTCTACTTCGAAGATGAGAATAGACATCTTGACACCTCCAAGAAGGGCAGAGGGAGCTGGAGATAATGCATGCTTATAATACCAGCACATTGTGAGGCTGAGGCAGGAGGACGCCAAATTTAAGCCCAGTTTGAGCAACTTAGTGACTTAGTAAACATGCTCAATAACACACATAAGAAAGGATAGGGATGTAGTTTAGTGTGAAGACCCTGGGTTCACCCTTCACTACAGAAGAAAAATAAGAAGGAAAAGGAGAAGAGGAGGATGAAGAAGAAAGAGATGAGGGGAAACAGGAGCAGGAGTGAGGGGAGGGAGGAGAGGAGGGAAGAAGGATGTGAGCTTAAGTTTGAAAATTACGTAGGACTTGGACCCCAGATTAAGAGCAATGATGGAGTAGGAGAGGGAGTCGCCACAGCAAGAACCCCGAGCTGAGTGGAAAGGGCCTAGATTGGCTTAACCAGCTGGGAGAAGGCTGAGGACAGCCGCCTGGAGAGGCAGCCTGAAGCTGCCTAGTGGGGAGTAGCTGGCTCACCCCACTATGCTTGGTCATCACAACCAGCTGGGTCGATGCTCTGATTTTGTCACTTTGGGGCTAAAGGCATTGGGAAATTCATTGGACTCCAAGTGTGTTTTCTTACTTCAGCAGTAGGAATAATGATAACTCTTCCACTGAGTAACTCTGAGGATAAACATTTTGATGTCTAAGAAATCCTTCACATAATGTCTGGCACAGAACACACTCGTAGATTGTGCCTATTGTCAATTACTCCCTTTTGATTGTCCCTCAGCCCATGAAGTCTGATAGTGTTCCAAAGGTTTTTCCCAGAAGCCTCTGTACCAGGCTTTACAGCAGAGGCATAGACTAAAGTCAATCCTTAATAGACTGCACCCCACTAGTTCCTACTTCCCTTTACCATAGGTCTCTAGGGTGTCACTAATCACATTTTATGTCTTGACCTACTAGCTGCTCAGTAAAGTTGACATGATGACCAAATGACACCAAGAAAACCCTAGACATTCTTTGCCAAATCCCAACACTGTGGCTAGGAAGGACCAACTCCTGTTGACACAGGACCAAGGGTATAGGAGTCCTACATCCTGTCACATGGTTTTAATCAAACTTGGAAGCTGTTCCCACTTCCCCTTTTATTTCTTTCCTCACTCATACAGTTAACAAGTTTATTAGTCTGAGTGGACCAGAACTTAATAATGACTGAGCTGTTTTTAAAAAAGTACAACTATTTATTGAAGTAATCTTAAGTTGGAGTTAGAATAATAAGTATGAGTTGTCTGACAGTGTTCCAAACTCAGAAATAAAAGAGATGACAAGAGGACTACGGATTCAGGAGGTTGACAGCAAGACTCGATAATTGGGAGTTCATTACTTAAACGTGAGGACACCACTAGGGTTCTTTCACATGAGTGACTGGCTTTTTCCCCTGAGTAAACTGGAGGGTAAAGAACAGAACAGGAAGTAAAATAGAAATTAAATTACTTACATGCATGGCTAGTATGCTTCTGGGGACCAGCTCTCTATATTGTCTAATGGTAAAGTGCCATGTTTTTATTCTCATGAGATCATCGAAGGTGAACTCCAAGATCAGCCTGCCTTCTGTACACACCTGGAAGCAACAGACAACGCATTCACTTGTTAGGTAGGTCGCAGGAGCCACATTTTGTAACTTACACCAGGCACTCCACATACTGGCCCCTGCTGTCCTTGGCAGCACAGCCTCTCGGTGAAGGTGTGACTCACTGGGGTCACCAGCTCTGGTGCGAGCTTGCACAAGTGTCAGCTCTTAGAACTGGGGATGCAACACAGGCAAGCGGCTCCCCACCCATGAAGGACTCTTACTGTTGCTCACTACTACCGAAGCTCCATGAATCTCTGTTCTTCATCTGTGAAGGTAGAGACAAAGTTCACCTGCAGGAACGCTGGGGTGAAATTCCTAGCATAGCTTAGGTGCGCCACAAGAGTAGTGCTCTCTGACTTCCTAGTTTCCTTCCATGTTTACCATCCTTTCCATGAGAGCTTGTGCTCCTGTTCCAATCTTGGATGCCTTGTTCTGAATAATGTCCCATAAAATCACTCACACTTCAGTGAGAATTAGGAAAAGGTTGCCAAGCTAGAGGAAGTTTTCATTTCTAAAGAGATATTCCACAGGTCACTGCTTACCCCAAAGCAGGAACGTCAGTTACTGACGTGGAAAACAGAGACTGAGATAGTATATTCCTTGAGCTCATCGTATCAGCAATGGCAAAGTCAACTTGCATAAAGGCCAGTATTGGACAGATAGTGTCTTTATCTTTCTAAGAAAAGTGTATATTATTCAGAAAACACAACAGGATTTCAGAGGCTCTCTTTCTTTATGGAGGGAAGCATTTTTGTCATCCTTTGATATTCATATTATTTTAGCACATGGTTCCTGTTTCACTTACTGTTCTTCTCTTCACTAGTAATGATATTGAAGGGAAGGAAAATGCTGGGCAATTGCACACCACTTGCACTATTTTAACAATGAGCCAAGAAGTGGCAGTGGCACACTGGTCCAGGTGGATAGTCATACCCCTTTTTGCACCCCCGTTTGCCCTAGGGAAGCAGCCTACAGCAGAGGGCGGAGCTGTGTTTCCCCTCACACCACACTGTGCTTCAGTCCTGACTCACTTTTCACTCATCCTAGATGTTCAGAAAAATAAGACAGACTCCTAAATTCTAGCTTCCTAGAATATGAAATAGGAACAGCCATATCCTTATATAGAATTGTTGAGAAAATACTTAAAAGAGAAATTATGGATATAGATGTATCAGTATACATTCTACCGGTACAAGTAGAATGATAGCAAATGATAACTATCTGTTTTAGTACATTGATCTTCTCATTAAGTTTTATTTGGAGATAAAATTTCCTACACCAGTAAACAACAGTACACAACTTTGGAAGCTTTTACAAAATGCATCAGACCTGCATGTGCAAGCATCGCACTGTCTCACTAGTGTGAGAATCTGAACAAGTAAATAAAATCTGAAAGGTACAATAGATACTGTGAAAGAGAAAGAACCTGTTCAATGGGAAGAAAAAACTGGGGTGAGGAAAAGGACAAAAGAAAGAAGGGAAAAATACATGTTTATGTCTATATGCAGGACAGCTTGTTTATATACAGGACAGTGGCCAGGGAGATAGTTTAGTAGAATAAGTGCTTGCCTGGCAAGTGCAAGGGCCTGAGTTCAATCCTTGGTTCTGCCAAAATATATATGTGCACACACATACAGGATAGTTGTACTGCTGATTTCTGCTGGTCTATTGAAAGGAACAATTAATGCTTTTTTTTTTTGTCTTCTTAAATTTCTTATAACTTTTTAAAAAATCAATTTTGCACCTTTATATCTGGTAACCTAAACAACTAATCTGAAGATAACATTATGCAAAACAACCACTGTTGAATTCCTATTGCTTTAATGACTTTTTTTTTTTTTTTTCAGTAGCAGGGATTGAACTCAGGACACTGCGCCTGACAGGCAGGCACATATTCTACTGAGCTGTCTCCCTGGCCTTGTTTAATGAAATTTTTTTATCATTTCTTATGATTTTTTTTTACCATTTTACACTCTTTAAGAAATGAAAATAAATTTAAAACACATATTTATGAATAAGTAAGTAAATATTAACTAAACAAGGGCTATAAATATTTCTAAAAGTGTGGTCTGTGGGGTTAACAGTTTATTTTAACATTACGTGACATGTGAATAATCAGTTACCATGTTGGGAATTTAAGCAAAACAGCACCTTTTAGTGAGTTCCAGTTCTGTTCTAAGAGCAGGGAGGTAATTTCTATACACTCTGATTGAAAGAAATATTTTCTTTCAAGAAGCCAAACTGAGCTCAGGAGAACTACCAGTGAGTGACGCAGGGCACTGCTCCAGAGAGATGCTATGAGTCTCTGCCATCTTCCTTTTTCAAAGATGAAGGGGACTCTGTAAGATAATTATTGATAACCTGGGTGAAGACTCTGCTTCCATTCTAATTAGCAGAACTGGTGGGTAATTTCATGCATTTGTGCGCCTTGCCTCAAAATTCCTGGATGGAACCATTTTTGGAGCTACATTTGTAGTATCTTAGCTATGAGCATTATATCCTTACAAACAGGGATCATTCATGTTCTGAAAACCCTCTCCTAAAAGCAAGTTGAGCATTGGACTTAATTTACCAAGGTTCTCAAATGAATTGCATAGAGATTAAGCCACATGATTGCCTCTGAGATCTTAGTATACCAACTATGGTGAAAACTAAAAAAAGGGCAGGGGCCGGTGGTTCACTGAGACTGCAATTGAGTCTGGGCGTGGTGGCGCACGCCTACAATCCCAGCTCTTGGGAGGTTGTAAACAGGTGGATCACTGCGAGTCCAATCTAATAATGAGACCCTGAACACCCTGTAGACCTTCTCTAAAATACACACACACACACACACACATGCTCACAAAAAAACCTACCATCACCACCAACAAAAAAACCCCCAAACTAACAAAAGGGAGGTAGCTATACCCAGGCATCAGCAGTGTAAAGTCTTGACAACAAAGGACTGGCACATTCGGAGAGTACACTACTTAAAAAAGAGAGAAGATTATTGGATATTTAAACATATGTTAGCTCAGTTAAATGTCAGACTTTTTAAAAAAAATATTCTATTTTGTGTTTATGGTCCACAGACTCTTCTAAGCCGAAGTCCTAGCTTGCTTGCTCTAGAGGAGTGTTGCGTAAGTGGGAAGGTATGGCTGCAGGCCCGAGGGCCTCCCCTCAGCTGCAGCTTCTGTACTCCAAGGTAAATTTTGTTCTGTGCTCACTGTGGCATGGGGAACCCATGCAGGACCTCCCTTTGCTGTCAGATTTTCAAGGCTTACCAGATGGAAATTGCCACAAACTTTGGGCTCCTTCTTTCTAAGTCAAAACCAAGGAATCAGCGTTATCTGGGGTGTACTATACTCAGGATGGAAATTTTTGGAATTGAATTTTAGAAGACTGTATGGGATGTTTTTGATTTATTTGTATTTTTTCTTTTCAAGGAAACTTCAATGCCTTGTGTGAATGGAGGGATGAAGGAGAAGTTTGGTCAGCGCTTATTTTATCCAAGTAATTACATCCCAGCAGCTTTATCCCAAGCCATAGGCAGTCCTTCTACCTCCAGTGGAAGTCAAATGAAATCAAAGGCTTTCTGATTTGTTTTACAGGAAATGAAATAGAGGCACATATAAAACAAATATATATTCGTTCTATAAAAATGGTGCAAAAAAAAGATTGGGCATGCTTATAAAGGGAAGCAGATATCTTTTCCAAGGTAATTCTGTACATTCCTCTTAATCAATGCAATTAATGTAGCTTTTATCTACAGCTGGCCTTTTTTTTTTAAAAAAAAGGAGGAAAAAAAAACTTCCTTTCCCTTGGAATCCAAAATCAAAAGGGTCCTCAATTAAGGAAACATTTTCTGTTGTGCTGAATTCATGTTACCGTACTGTGAGCCCTGACATTTTGTTTCTGTGGTAACCAAAATCAGCTGATTAGTTGGCATGGCAACAGAAAAGATGTAATCCCAGCAGACACACTCTAATCAATGCCCCCAGCACAGATGGTCTCCGGAGGATCAACAAGAAAGAGGCTGGCAGGCGTTCAGCAGATCACGTGCTGGTTTGAGACTAGGCCGGGAACAAGAGAACTAAAAAAGAACATTTCTCAAACTAACTGCTAGCTTTTTAACCCTTTTCTTTCTTGACTAATTGCAAAGCTATATTAATCGTGTAGTTGTACAACACAATGATTCTCAGACAGTGTTGATAGAGTAAGACAGGCTTTTTAGGGAGGAGTGTTCATCTAATTTTCTTAATCTTTATGCTTGAGCAGCATGCATGAAACAGTGTTTTTAGATTAACAGTTACATAATTTTTTTGTAGTTCTCTTGAGGATTTGCATATATAAATTCATATTAAAGCCATATGATCATTGCCATTGTAGTTTGTTGACAGTCAAGAGCAGAAATTCTGGAGTATAATGTGGTATACAAGCTATAGCAAAAATAATAAGCAAACAGTCAAAGACACAAGTGAGTATTCAGCTGGGAAAAACCAGTTGGTACAATTCCATAGTATTTTTATATAGCAGTAAATAATTTCATGATAAATGACTGAAAGCTGATAAAACACACTTTCATGTTTGCAGCAGTTATAGAAGTGTCTATAACCAGTGCAACTATTATTGTTTCAGTGTACAAAACCTAAAACGAACACCCGGAATACAGCCTACATTCAGCATCCATCACTGTTCTCATCCTCAAGTCTAAATATAACTCAGGGGTCTTTGATTCTGAAAAGCTTGATGTGTGTTCCTTTGATTATTAAGCTTTGTTTTCTATTTGATTCAAAATTGAAAACATAAAAGGCTTTATAATGCGTGTTTTAAAATTCTAATTACATATTTATCCATAATCTATAATGTTTCTGAGATCAGGAAATTGCAAAATGCTCACTATACCTCTGAGGAATATTTAATATTACTGTTGATTAGGACTATGACTGATTTTGATTTACTAGTTGACCAAATTTTCATAAAAGCAACTCAGAACCACTGGGTCAAATGCTATTTGGGGAATGAGAGTTTATTAGTAGTCTAAGTTAGAGCAACACAATGCTGCCAACACAGAAAGTGTTAAGGAATGCCAGGTATTAAAAGCAAAACAATAAGAATTAGTTTCCAAGCTTTACCTTTGTGATCCTAGAAGCATGTTAGTCCAGTGTTTTATGGTATCACAGTATTTTATTATAGAAGGATGAATTATTTCTGATTAATATAAGAACACAAGAAAAATCATAGTCTTCAGGTCGTTTAACAGTCACTCAAGAGTAGGGTGGGAGGAAAGGAGGGGAAGGGAGTGGGGAGGGGAAGGAGGGAGGAGAGGGAGAACCTATTAAATTTTCTAAAAATAGATAAGCATAAATAACATCTGTTTTAAGTGCCTACAACTAAACTGCATTTCCCAGGAAGTGATTGTTTTTTCAGCATGGTATGAAAATATTCACTAGGACTGACAGCTCTCCTAGAGCAAGACGGGTTGCCCAAATCACTTATGCCTGGGGACAAGGAAGCCACACACAGGTCGATGCCCACATCGGTCCACAGCCTGTCTTGATGCTGCAGCCATCTTGATGGAATTTTCCAGGAAAAGACAGAATATAGCAGAGGAAAACCTCCCTTTCTTGCTAGGAATGAGACTAGCATCCTATTGATTCATTGGAAGAATGTGATGCTCTTTGATCTAAGAGAAGTCTGACACATTCAGCACTCTACCTTTAGAGCAACTACATTCGTTTATAAGAATTTTAGCCTGAGAATGGAAGAAATTGAATGTGTACTGCTGTAAATGTATTGTCATTTTTAATGGTTATAAAAGCTAAAAGTAGCTCTTTAATTATGGTAAAGCTTTATTTAATAATTACAGGTCCTTTTTTCACCTTAAAGCATAAAGAGGTGGCATGTTTTTTCTTGAATTACAGTCACATTAAAGGGAAGCAGAGAGAGAACAATAATTAAGCAGAGGAAAAGGCTTTCTTCACAGTACTGAGATTTCATCACTTTAAGAAAGAATAGATGGTACAACCATGCGATTTGCAAAATGTGCTGCACAGCCAGAAGAAAATAAGATGTAGGGGCCGGCGAGAGCTCAGTGGTTTAAAGTGCCTGCTTAGGCAAGCGTAGGCAAGCTCAGGGACTGCAGTTCAATCCCGGGCACCACATGCTGCGCCAGCTCCACCCCCAGGGCGGGCTGAGCTGGCAAAAAAAAAAAGAAAGAAAGAAAAGAGAAAGAAAGATGTGGACAGATGTAACCATCATTTGGACAGCCACTTCTTGCCACATGGAGAAACTTTCTCTCAGCATAGATGTCTGAATCTGACATGAAACTTCTTTGTTTGCAAATGACAACTTTCTCCCTGTCCAAATGTTAAAACAACAAGGAACAAAAGACGCCACTGTCCCAAACTTAAACTGTCAAAATCATGACACTATAGCATCAATGATATTGGCAACACAGAAAATTAAGCTGCACCAACATCAATTAATACATAAGAATTAATACATATTGGACTTTGGTAATTAATTAGCCCTGGTAATTCACTGTTTTCTAACTATAAGGAAAAGACCTTAGCTTGTGTTTTGTATTAAAGGAGATAACTGTTATCATTAATATAAGGAATGAGTTTTACGTTGTCTTAGTCCAAATGCAATGAACTAGTTTTTGCTAAAATAAACTTCTGTGGAGTAGGTGGGATATCTCAGTAGCAGAACATGTGTTTAGCTTGTATGAAGTCTTAGGTTCAACCTCCAGTACCACCAAAAGTAAATAAAAATAATGTAAAATGAACTTACATTTTCCAGATTGTACGAGGACACTTCATTTGTTTTTACTAATTTTTCCACATGGGGAAGTATCGCGCTTTGGATTCCAGAAAAGTCTAACCTAGCCACACACACACATACTCTTTCTTTGAGCTGGAAGTGTCTGAAGCATATGGTGTGAGTTCCAAATTCCAGAAAAAAGACCATCTTTACTTGGTACAGAGTCTCGCTATGCAACTCAGACTCATAGTGATCCTCCTGTCTCAGCCTCCTCACTGCTGGGATTATAGGTGTGCACCACACACACTTGGTTCTGGTGGCTGGCAAAACATGCCCAAGGTTCCAGGGCCAGCATGGCATGCAGTACCAGGGATAGAGCCCTGGTCCTTGCACTTGCTTGGCAGGTGCTTAGAATGCCAAGCTACCTCCGCAGCCCGAGATGACCTTGAGAACTTTTTAATTCTCCAAAATTAAACAAGGTGGGTCCCGTACATACCTTGGTGAACATGGGCTTCCCATGTTGGGTGACCATGGCACACTGGTCGCAGTCCACTGTGATGGAGGAGTTGTGGTAGGACTCCTTTGAGTGCTTGAGAATGTAATACAGGTCAGTCACCCCTCCTTCAAACACAGTGCTAAAGTAACGGGGAATGAGGGTCCTGCCGATAGCTGGAAGAGAAACAGAGAAGCAAGCCATGAGGAATGTATCCAGGCAGACCCACACTCCTCACAGCATCACCAGACCTGCTGTGGCTGGATATAAACCCTCTTCCAGCAACCAAGCCATGAGACAATTTCTGTTTCAGAACCACCATGATCTTCTGACTTGCAGCTGATAAAATACCCCAAGCTATTTAGGAAAAGTGTGGACAGTCATCTCTCCAGGTTTTGTGTCCACTAACAGCCAATAAAATGAGAGCTAGTCCTTTTTTTTTTCTTTTTTGGTGGAACCAGGGATTGAACTCAGACCCTTGTGCTTGCCAGGGAAGCGCTCATTCCACTGAGCCATTTCCCCAGCCCTGAGAGCTAGTACTTTAGAAATAATAGAAGAGAGATGAGTTCACCACTTGGGACCTTGTGTATGCTTTTTAGTGCATATGATTTCAAAAAACAAAACATATACAACCTACTTGGATTTTTTAATGTGCTATTTATGAGTCAATTACCCAATTATGTTTTACTTTTATTATCAGTAGTAGGAATATAAATTTTAACGCCATATGCTATGTAATATGTGACATAGTTTGGAATTTTCCCACCAAATCTCCAGTATACCTTTGAGAGCATACAGGACTGTGGCTCAAAAAGGTTATTATGAAAAAAGTAAAAGTTTTTGTGCATGTTCAAAGTCACCTGACTTACAAATAGCTGTTTGGAGTCTTTAATACTGCATCTGCAAACACCGCAACACTTGGTCTTTCCACTTCTGTGTCTCCAATTGTTTTAAGGCATGAAAATCTTTAAACAGTAACCTGAGTCTCCTTATACAAAGAGATTCATAACTATGCAAATGTTGATCTTTCCATTTGCTTTGGAGCTGGATTAAATATCCCTCTAAAATAAAAGGTTCCCTTAGAAAGGACTCTATCCCTCTACTTGATCTAACTTTGTCTCGCTCATCCCGTGCGGCCAGTGCTGCCCCCTTTCAGTCTGAGCAGTGGTCTGTGCAGCTGGGCCTTTCTGATATATGACCCTTAGGAAATCCGGGATAACCCTGGCCTCGGGACTGATCTGAAATCCTCTTACACTGGAAATCTCAACTCACAGTCCCAGGAATTTTGCCTAGGTGCAGATTTTATGCGAAGTCCTGAAAGCATTTTCAAGCAATCCAAGGTTTTAATAAATCTCCACACCCAGTGTATATAACCCCCAAAGACAAAAATAACATTTCAGATAAGCTACCTACGAGAGCTCTAGCTAGAAAAGTCACCCAGTTGCCACTTGGATGCTTTAAAATACTTAATTTCATTTAGAAGGAATCCGTATTAGCCCATTGCATAGGAATCTAGAGCTCCTCTGCACATGGACATGCTAAGGATGAGTACAGAAAGAGTACCCATGTGGACTGTTTCCTGGAGTGATCTTTAAAGAACCCTGACATAGATAACTACTGTCTGAATAATTTATGTAGCTGTCATTGCTTCGTATTTGCTGTGGGTAAAATCAGTCAACAAGTGTGTGCTAAACATTCCAGTAATTTCAGTTCTTCCATCCCAAGTAATCCTTATACACACATTTCCTAAATACTGCCTAATCCCCAGCACTACTTGTTCATTCTCTGAATATAGAATTCAAATAAGAGTTATTTGAGTACAGCATATGCTTAAACACATGAATGGCTAATATTATAAAAGGAAACTTGGTTATGCTAAAATCCTTATTGTACTTTACTAAACAGATAAAATTAATTGAATGCATTTCAAATATTCTAATTTAAATGTAATTATTGTAAATCAGCTCAAGTAATTTGATAATTTTGGATCTATACTGTTAAGAATAAATACAAATCCTAAAAATGTAGTTGAAGGGTGAAAATATTTCACAGCAACATCTAAGAAATTGTCATATGAAAGTTTACGGTAAATAACCACCACTGGATTAATCATATTATCATTTATTCATCATGAGTCTTGCATAGCTTGATGCTGTTACAGCACTGGTTCCTATCTATTCTTATGCAAAGTATCAGAAAAGATGAATGGTAATAAAGCTTGACATTTCCTAACTTTAAACCTAAATTTTTAATTATGTCCCCAAATCAAGAAAAATATACCAGTTAAGCAGTAAATGTACTTAGAGGGAAATGCAATTTTGCTTCATTGGAGAATTTCTGGAACTCTAGAGAAAGACTGAAATGCATACTACAGACTTGTTTTTAGCTTCCTCTCCTTTGTGGAAATGCCCTACCCCTTTCCCATGGTCTGATTTAAACAACCACAAAGCTCCATCAGTATCCCATGTGGTAGGCTGCTATTCTAGTGACTTCAGTGACCCGTGACAGATGATATTTATGTCTGTATATAAGATCTCCTTTTCTTAAATCTCATTGGCTTGTTGCTCTGCTTCCACTAATATAATGCAGCTGAACCACAGAGTGTTGGTTTTGAGCTGTACCTTGAAAATCATGGAAGGTTCCTTTTAGTACTTGGGAAAATGTCAGTTCCTATATGCAAAATCCAAATATTCTAAAACTGCCAATCTGGGAGAAGAGTCATATGGAGTGGTTGCACGGAGTAGAAGAAGGCCTTCCAGGCACCGACCTTAACTGAAGTTTTGGTTAACAAACACCTAGCATTGACTTTCATGAGGGAAGCCATCTTGGAAGGGAGTTGTTGAGTTCCAAGTAAGTTTCCTTAAGCTCATGTCCTTGGAAGTGGAGATGAGCTGCCTCTGAAACACTCTGCCAAAATTGCAGAAGCCTAAGTAAATATATATATGTATATTTTCAGAACCACTCCCTGAAAGGAAAAGTGTAGTTTTACCAGATAAGACCTACATGCAAGCAGAAGGCCAGAGATAGAAACAAAGAGAAGAGAGGAGAGGAGAGGAGAGGAGAGGAGAGGAGAGGAGAAGAACTTGGGACAGGGGATATAGCTGGAGAGGAGAGGAGAGGAGAGGAACTTGGGACAGGGGATATAGCTCAGTGTCACAGTGCGTGACTGGCAAGTGTAAGGTCCTAAGTTTGATTTCTGATACCAAAAGAAAAAAGCAAAACAAAAAAAGCAACTTGTTCAAGGTCACTGGATTCCTCACTGGGAAGGGTTAGAAAAACAGAGGCTGACCTCTCTGTACTCTATCAGACCTTAATAATGTAACAGAGATCCAGTCATGTTCTGTTCATCTCTTGCCACAGGGAAAACTGCTATTTGGACCAACCGTTGGAATATGAAAGAGCCCAGTACATACTAATTATAGACCAAACTTGGGATTTCTACCTTTTGTTGAACAGCATTTGTAATATAATTGAAGTAGTGTGGTGCAAAGTCAAGGAAAGACTGGACTTCCAGACGAGGCATTTGCTTCAAAATGAATCTATCATCTAAAAGGCAGAAATTTAATGTGTTTATTCAATCACAAAACATACTGTTGTTATCTGTAATAAATGACTTAGATATCCCAAATCATTTTCTTGTTTTATGGTTTTAAGATATTTTCTGGGGCCAGGAAGATAGCTCAGTAGAATAAGTGCTTGCCTGACAAGCGCAAGGACCTGAGTTCAATCCCTGGTTCCACCAAAAACAAAAAAAAACACATATTTTCTGATGTCACAGTGAAAATTCTGATCTGAACCCAATTCTCACACAATTGAAGGGCTTGAAAGATACTGAGGATTCATACAACCAAGAGCCCTCTACTTCTGACAGTACCATATCTAAATTCACTGGTATATGACCTACCTTTTAGATCTACCAAATAAAATTTTATAAACCCCTTTGTTAATCCACTAAGTCACAGTTATAAAAGTTCTTATTGAGCAACAGGTCTTCTGGTACATTTTCTGAAATCATTTTGCTTTCAGTGGGTATACAGAATAAAATGTGAAACACAAAATGGTCACAATATTCCATAAAGGTTAAGAACTTGGTCTTCTATTTTCAGATCAAATAATTCTAATTTTCTCTCATCAGCACTAAGGTACCCTTTTGAGTTTTCTGTAAGTTTTCTTTTTACATTTGGACAACTCAGATCTAGAGAGTTTAGTAA